GAATGACTTTGACAATTTTCCCTTTAGATGCAAAACTGCTCTGAAATTTTTCAAGAAATTTTTTCTTTATTTTTCTACTTTGATTTTTTTCCCTCAATTTTTCTTATTTGTGTGGTAATCTCAATTTTGAATTTGATTTGAATCAATTATTTCTCCATTTACCAGGAGCTCTTTTGAAATAAATATCTTTCCAATCTTATTTCTACAATATTGTGATTTTGTTTTCAAAAAAGTGTAACTAAATTTAAGGATGAGAAAATCGAAAGTTCTCCAATATTCTGTTACTAAACCTCTTCATCCAAATAGAAACAAGAAACCCAAATTATCTGATTCTGTTCTGAGCTCTTCCCAATCCAACAAATCTACCCAAGGATCATCATCAACCCAAGGATTATCATCAACAGTGAAAAGTTCATTCAAATGCTCACCTTCAACTTCGTCTATTTTATCCAGTTCGGGATACAGTGATTCATTTTCTTCTCGAAAAGAATCTTTGCTTAGTGAAAAACGATCAAATTCTGCTGAAACAATAATCTCTGAAAAGCACGAGGAGAACGAAGAGATCGAATTAAGTGAGAAAAATCAACCTGAGTTTATCCACGCTGTCTTCATGCCGCTGCTACTTGATCATAGTTTGAAACAAATCAAACAACCGATTTTGATAAAGATCCGGGAAAGTCAATTCATAGATTTTGGTTTTGATTTACCTTTCAATGATTATTTTGATTTCTCATCTAATTTGTTTGAAGTTGAATTTGGTAAATTCAAACTTTCAGGACCAATTATAGCTACTGGAGGTAAGTTCTCAAAATATCTTTTCTGGTTTTCAGGATAAGAATCTAATCCATGGCTAATTTTTTCTCTAGAAACGCCTCAAAAATTGAAAGTGTGTCTTACCAAGTGTATTGAAAAAAATCCAAACTGGAATCATTGTGAAAAAATGATAGGAAATTCTAAATTATTTAAAGAGCTCAAACATGTTCCACTTGTGAAAAGAAATCAGTGTCCCAAGCAAAAAATAATAAGTTCTAATGATTTCGAATGTTTGAAAAATTTCATAGAGAATTTAGTCGCTGAACGTGATGAACCCGAAGAAAAAGATTATAATACTATCAAAGCCCAAGTACAAAAGGAAGATCTGATTGTTGACCGGATGAAAACCTTAGAAAAGAAACAAAGAAAAGACGGCAAAAAGACAATCGAGATGATTCCTCGAGAAAAAATTCAATTAGTGAAACTCACCATCGACCAAAAAGTGCATCGGAAAAAGATATCATTTTTGCGAGGATACAAGAGAAAATTTCACTTTGTAATGAACGAAAGCCCAATTTGGCCAAATGTGATACAATCAGTCTAATGGTTTCAGATATAACTGATATTCTTAAAGATTTGTATCTTATTCTATCAGAAAAAGAGATTTCGGCCAGAGAGATAATGATCAAGATACCAGAGGAAGATGAAACATATAAAATTGAACAAGCAAATCGAATATTCATCGAGGGCTTGATACAGTTTGAATTGGATAAATATCAAGAAGCTGTATCCAGAGCGAAAACAAAAGTTCCTTTCTCTTTTGCTTATCAACTGGTCAGCGTTTGTTTTCCTGAACAATATTTTAAAAATGTCACGTTCGGAAAAAAATATTATAAAGAAAATGAACTTCAAGATTTTTTGAAAATGATCAAATCTGAACAAGTAACAGAAAAATTTCCGTTGTGTTTTGTATGGGGTTTCAAAGATCCTTTTGGTAAGCCTTTTCAAGGCAAATTTGATTCAACAAGAGGCTATGAACGCGTCAAAGCTTTTGTTGGTTAGTAGAATTATTTGAATAAAACTTTTTTTCCATTTAAATCCAGCAGAAAAAATTCTAATAAAATCAATATCTATTTCAGTTCACATATTTAGAAAAGCTAAAATCTTCGAATATAATGATGATCTAGAGAAAGAGGTCCGAATAAGAATAGGAAAAGAGCTTTGTGCAAAGAACTCAGCCTCACGAAAAAGACAAACACCAATAGATCTTGATTCTGATGAAAACAATTCAATGGAAGAGAATCAAGAAAGCAATGGAAAAGAATCTTCTTCATCGATATGGAATTCTAGATGTTTTTCTTAAATTATTAAATTTTTTGACAAAGATACCAATAAATCTTCATATGAATCTATAAATCAATTGTTTCCGAATTTTGAATTTTTTTTCTCATTTTTTGCGAATCAAAAACGTTCAAAAACCTTCAGATTCAAAATTGAATCGGATTGGTTATTACGGATTGCTTTTTGATTCATTTTTGAATCGGAACTGTTGATTGGGTGACCTTGATCTAGTATCTGGAGTTATGGTCCGGTGATTTAAATCATTTCATGGTGATTGTTTTATTTTCATGAATTAACCTTGATTCTTATGAGGATTAATTATCACTCCCTGTGAATCCAAGTATTGCTCTGATGACAATTAACAGATTTCACTCAATAACCTTAATTGTAACCCAGACAATTCATACTAACTAAGGGTTAACAAGGTTAAACAATCAAGACATTTCCACTAATTGTTTACATTCTGCTCCTGATTAAGACTGTAATTAAGCTTGATTGCCATAAATGATCATTAATTATTCATGTTGCACACAACAATCAGCAATGTTTCATTTGATTTGATTTTCAGTGATTGAAATTCAATAAATTTTTCATTTTCACTTCATTTTTAAGGTGAAAAAAAACCTTTTCAATTGAATATATAAAATTCAATGATAAACTGGTACTCCGATCAAATTGTTCAGCTTGTAATCAAATTAATTTGATTGTTACTCATTGGAAAATGAAAATAAAATCTTATCAATAGTGAACATGAACAAAGAGAAAAGGTTTTTTGATATTTTCACTCCCCTCATCATTTCCTTATCCTGTTCATCTTTATAATAGTATGAGAATGGATTGTAAGTGATGAAAGATGATAATGATGAAGATGAAGATGAAGGATGAAAATCAGTCTACGTATTATAACAAATAATGCAATCTTTGCATTCTCAATAAAAGGTTATCGAAATGCATCTTCTTTGATTATCAATACCACTTTTATCCTCTTCATCTTCATCTTCATCTTCCTCATCCTTATCTTCATCATTCTCAGCGTTTTCACCATTTCCTCTTCCCTGTTATTTGGTTTCTCTTGAGCATCATCAATATTGACACAGAATATAATCCACTTTTCAATTATCTCTCTCTCCCTTTTTATCCTTGTGAAGCATTTTCATCATCATTGTCATCTAAATTAATGAATGAAAAAAAGGTGAACTTTATGAAGACAAAAAAGTAATATTCAACTTGAGAACTCTGGACTTGATAAGATTTGCGAATCATTGGAATCAAAAAAAAAGAAAAGAAAAAATCTCCAACTTTTCCATCATTTTCCTCTCCATCTCTTTCTTATCATTATTATTGATTCTTTGATAGATGATGGAGTTGATTGTATTCTGATGTTGACATTAATGCCGTTAGAATGATGAAAATCTATATAATAATAATAATAATATCACACTTCCCACTCCACCCTCAACCTCACCCAACTCAAGTCTCTTGTCTACCTTTGTTACTACAATAATATAACATTGATATAACTTTTTTTTCTCTCTCCATGTCCAAGTAATATAATATTATTATCATAATAGTAACGATATTTAATGTTATCCCAATCATCATGAAAAAAGTTTCAATCAAATCACAAAAGAAGCAGAAAAAAATATCAAACTTATTTAAGGAGCATGATGATCACTCATCATCATCATCATCATCATCAACACCATCATGGTGATAATTTTAGTTCCTTCTCAATTTTATTCTTCTCTCTCTGAATACATGATCATCCATGGAGACTCTGAATATATCTACAGAATATAATATAACCATTCAGAGTGATATTGTTACGGTTGACCAAGATCCTTGAACTTTATCACAGTTTTTTGGTTCACTCTTTCACTTGCACCCCTTTGATATCATTAAAACCTCACTCGTGCGAGACATAAATAGACACACAAAGTTCAGTCTCAGCATGAAGATTCACCATGAACAAAAAGATGAATCCATAATATGATCACAAATATATTTCCATACTGATAAATGGACACTAGAAAAATGTAAACTGACCATTAGAAATGCTCAAGTATTGAGTGTGTTGTATATATATTTTTGTCAACCTTTTAAATCAGATTTGGTTAGGGTTAACTAAATATCATGATAATGGTCATCATCATGATAACAATAAGTAAATAAACATGTCCACTGATTCAGTGGACATGAGTTATTATTTATTGTCACTTGAATGATTATTTTCAGGTAACTGATGGTGAAAAAAATATACAATAAATTGTTCAAGGTGATGGTTTCAACTCTCAGGGATGAAAATCATCATGATAACTTTTTTTCTGTGGAGAAATAAAATTTTCAATCCTTTGAATTTCAATGTACCTTTAGACTGACCAAATCATCATATTTAATGGACATTTCAAAATCAACTGAGCAGTTATGATGGTAAATTAAATTATCGATTACTATGAATCAAGACCATTCAGATAATATACCAAAATATTAAATGAATTATAATCATTAGTGTTGTTTTTTTAGTCTATTTGATTTACCTTGGGGCATTTTTTTTACCATTTCATTGTTTACCTGGACATTGAATACTTGTTGTAATGGTCAAGAGTAAGAAAAAGACATTGAATAGCAAAAAAAAAACTCTAGATGACCTGAGGCTACTTTCGATGACCATCATCAAGGATGAAAACGATATACATGATCAGATATATTTCTCATAATTTCATGAGTTTTCATCATGTTTACTTTAATATCATTATCTCATATTATCTTAATATTAATTGTTAATATTCACCAGCGGGTGATTGGAGGTCAACACTGGTGAAAGTGGTCAAGAATTAGAAATATTTTTTTCTTTTCTCTCAAAATTATGAATCATGTATGAATATCTAAATAGTAATTGGACTTACCATCTAAATCAATGTCGTAAACTGCATGAGCTGCAGTTGAATCAATGGAAGCTCGAGCTGAAGGTGACCTTGAATAGGCCAATAGTTCACCATATGATGATCGGGTCGGTGAAGGGGCAACAGTGGCCCCAGTTAAACAGGTCCCATTTATACGAGAAGCATCAAAACTGTACACATCAAACGAGGACGGGTTAATACCACCATAGTTACCATGATGGCCTAAGACACTCGAACCGCCTCCACCTGCCCCTGGACCATTAGTTGGTCCAGTTCGCCCTCCACCAGCCACCGTTGTTGTATCATCATCTTTAGATCCTGATGTTGGTGGGGTAAGGAAACGTTGCTTAGTTAAACTATGTAATGCACCGGAAATTGATGATATTCGAGGTCGGAAGTAGCCAATGTGAGGTCGATTATCATTACTATCAGTTTCCGTTCCAAAAGCTTTCCACATGATAGTAAATGATATTCACACCAATCAGAATAAAATCTATTGATGAATTTGAAAATCGAGTTTCAATTCGACCAAAATGTTCAGTTAATTGTTCATCATTAAAGATGAACCAAATTTAATCACTTTATATATATAAATTAACTAATGAACAGTTAACAGTGGGATCTGGCAATTTCCTTTTGAGTTAATTACTTACAATTAAGGATAATAAAAACACTTTGATCTTAATAATCTTATATTTTAATCCTCTGGTTGTTTTAACAGACAAATTAACTTTTTTAATTGTTGAGTGTTAGTTGTTTTATCAATTAACATAATGATTTAGTTTATATAACTTGATTTAGATTCAAAATTTACTGAGCAAAAAAAAACAAAATCATATAATTGGATTGATTTATAAATTTACCTGTTTTTTCATTTAATTTTTCTAGTTAATTGTATTATCACTAATTAAAGATAATTATAAGATGTTGATTGGGAATATTTTTTAAGGTAAAAAATTAGCAATTAGTTTTATCGTCATGATGATTGACATTGTTGTTGTCGGTGTTGGAGATGAAGGTGGTTAATGTTATGATGAGATTATGATATAATTCATTTTTGATTAACTTTCGGTTGATTGTTGATTGTAATTGATTGTTGGTGACAGTGTTTGTCTTGTTACTCTTGATGAATATAAAAAGTAATATAAGGCTCGATTTGCCTTCAAGGTGATAACCAGAGTGTTAACTTTCCGAATCCACCATTTTACTGGTAAACTCATTTTCCTCTTCACATCTACACCACATCAACACATGAATACACCAAATGGTAAACCCAAAAACACCAGAAAAAAAGATGAATTAAAACATAACCAAAAGAAGGAAAGAAAAATTGAAAATATTAGAAAATAAAGGAAAAGAGAATCGATTTCTTATTGATGATGATATTTATCTGAATTTCGGGTTTGTTGTTGTTTTTGTTCAACTGAGAAGATGATGAGGATGAAGAAGAAGAAGAAGAAGAAGAAGATGGAACGGATGTGCAATATTGTTGTTGTTCTCGTTTCATAACACATGCTTCAACTACTCAAGGAAAATAAAGATTATGGTGATAACGATGATGAGAGGATGAGGATGAGGATGACAACAAGAAAGGGAAAATATAACTGAACAGCACAAGAATATGTTACTAAATTGTTATGGTTGTTGTTGTTGGTTGGGTGTGAGAAAATTCAATTGATCAAGATGAAGATGAAAAGAGAAGATGGAAATGGGAGAATGGGGAGAAACACAGCAGAGAGAGAGAGAGAGTAGAAATTGCTATACTCAGCATCATCAGAGAATCATGATTGAGCATGATAGTCACAGAGTATTGAGTAAGTTGAGTTCCATCATGTGATGGGTTAGAAAGGAGAGAAAGAGAATGACGAAGAGATGAAGGAGAGAGAGAGAGAGAGACTGGGAGAGGATGATAACTGCTAGAGAATCGACTGGGAGTGAGATTAAATTCTGGGGAGTGAAATAGTTGGGGTTGAGTTGTTGGGTTTAATGGTTGAGTAAAAGATGCGTAGTGAGGGAGAAAAATATTCAAAAGGAAGATGAAGATGATGAAAAGAAAGAGGGAAAAGTTTATCTCATCTTCCTTGGAGGTTACATCTTAGTTTTCTGATTGATGTCAATGAAAAAGAGGAAAAAAATTGTTCTATTTGTTTTAACTTGATTTTCATTCATTTGTGTCTCACGATTTTACAACAATCGTTTATCTTACTTTTCATTAATATTAAACTTACGATTATTAACTAACTCTAATTGTAATTAAATTAATTATTTCTTCTACAGTGGCTGTAATAGACTCATTAAATCACATAAAGTAATTTAACAATTATCATTCCAATTACAATACAATGTAACAAATTTGTAACAGTTTTATCAGCATTTTTAATTGTTCACTTTTATTCAGCTTAATTGTTGATAATTAACATTGGAATCGTAAGTGTAATGTTAATCACAGTTTATCTCATCAATCAAGGTTACAATTAGTTAATTGTTGTTGAAATTTGCCACATAAGAGACCTAAAAACAAAATAAATATAGTTTTTCATCTTAATTATGATAACAATTAAATCTAATTCGTTTACAAATTGAAAAGTCTTGTAAGTCTCATCAATTTTTTTCATTCATTTTTCACTAATTAATCAATTAATGATTGTTTTCAATCAGAATCAAGGTTTCTAATTATATATTGAACCGATGTGATTGAATTTTTGAGTGGAAAATAAATTTTTTGATAATTTAAGAGATGATGATAATTATATGATATAACTGGTTAATGATCAAAATGGTTTTCATATGATTAAAATACTGATTAAATTAAACTACACCCATAATGATCTGATTAATTTGCTGTTTCTATTATTATCATCAGCAATCATGTTCATCTTTAATAATAAATTGATGAAAAATCTGATGATTGAACATCTCATCATCTAAATTATCCCCTGAACTCCCATGAACAATTTATGGATCAACATTATCACCACAAATTCATAAATACCAAGGAAAAAATTTTGAATCCGATTGAACAAATGAACTTTTTTCTTAGGCGTTGCCTCTCAGTCAATAATTTAAAAGATAATCCCATGGATCATCTGACTGATTGTCTCGAAGAGAATTCAGATTGAATATTTCATCTTATCAATTCCTTTAATTAATCCACAAGAAAAGAATTAATTTGATAGCGAAAGACAATTTCCTCCAAGGACGAAAACTAATCAAAGATTAAGCTCAGAAATTTCAATCTTCCTTTTCAATTTGATTCGATTGGAGTTTTTTTTTCTTCTTTTTTTCTTATTTTGTTCTTACGACTGATCTGATTTTATCTCCATCATGGTTAGAGATTCTGGTTTCATAGTTAATCTATTTGATTAGATTAATAGTTTGAAAGGTAATAACAAAGTTTCAGGATGAAGAGTAAAACAAAATCTAAATTGGATTCAATGTGTTTACTCATTGATTGAAAACCTTTTCCTTGATACTTTTGGGATTGTAACGGTTTCTGTTAATCATTAACCTAAAACCAAATGATACAATTTGATTAACTGTTCAAATTAACTCTAACAATTTACTAATCATAAAAACCTACAAAGCTAATCCTTAACAATTAATCTGCTCGTAAGGTAAAACAGAAAACAATTTGCTATAAATGTGTAAACATTTAAAGTGATTGGATGATTAAATTAATTTATCTCTATTTATTTATTATCAGACACAATTAAGCTTGATTATAATTTATAATTTATCCTTTTCCATTACTTGATTGTTATCAGACAGACTTAATTGTCATCATATTTCCTGTTTCCGGATTTTTCCTTCAATTGTTATCGTTATTATTACATAAATTTGCTCCAATTGTTTTTAACCTGAACAATTAGTACAACGTGATCAAATTACAATGGTTCAACAATTAACTAATTTTATTCTTAATCATTATAATGAAACATTTTGCTTCATGATACAAAATTAACTATTTCCGTCTTTGAAATTAATTAAATGATAGTTAATATGTTACCAAGAACAATTAGTTTTCATCTCAGTGAATCTGAGATTTAAGTTAATTTGATTGATACAATAATTAATTTATGAATTCATTTGATGAGTTGAAGTAAATTAAAGTTGAAATTTTAATACAATTCAATCGTGATTCATGATAATCAGATTATTTCATTGAAAGTATAATATTATCAACAAATCATGTTGGTCAGTGGTCAGTTTTTGACCAACAATTAATCCTTGATTGCTTGATTCATGATCTATTGGCAATTTCATGATAGTTATAATCAAGAGGAAACAAGAAATTAAATTGATGATAAACCTTATGGATTAAATTGATTTGTGATTAATATAACAACAGGGCTAAAGTGATATGAAAAATTTACACCATGAAATTGTAACAAAGTATCATGAGCATCAGGAAATATGATCAGGATAATAACTGAATTTTTGGTTCGGGATGAAAAACGTTTTTCATGTGAAACCATTTCCAATTTAAAAACATACAAACAACTAGATGAAGATGATAACATGATGATTATGGATGATAACAAGCTACTCGATAATCCTTTGGGAATTTGTAAGATTGATTATCTACATAACATGAGATTCATGAGAATCGTGATAAAGTTGATTCTATTTTCTCATTCATGTTACTTGTTTCTCTTTCAATTCTCAGCTTCGTTGGCTTAATTTTCATTAACTTTCATGTCAGTTTAAATTCAGTTGAAAGTTAAGCTTGAATTTCATGAGATATTTACATGTAGATGATATGTATGTATAAATAATGTGATTCCATGAATTGTGAACATTCATGAAAATGATGATGAACGTTGAAAGTAAATGATTTACATTGAGAACAGTTAAAGTTTCATATTATCATAAATGAATTTCCAATTAGTTTTCTCAGTTTACCTTTCGATTTATTTTCAATGATCATTCAATTTCTATAGAAATTTTCATCCATGGTAATCAAGAAATAAACACAACTCAAAATGATGAAATTTAAATTTCCAATATAATAATCAGTTAAATTGAAATTTCTCCAAGTCAACAATTAAAAACTTTTCTATTCTCAATAAATTATAATCTTCGCCTTTCATTGTTTCCTCTTTTCGACACAACAGATGGCGACACATTCGCAGAATTACGTGTCAGAGTTAAAGTCTTTTTCTAGTATTGATTAATTTCCTCTTACCTTTGAATTTTCCCTTGTTGATTAACCTTTAATTTTCTTGGTTCCACAATTTCTTTTATTCTAATTGTTTCAATTAACTGAGGTTTTTTTTCTCCTACCATGGGCTTAGCAATCAGTTCTCTCTTTCAAAGTCTATTTGGATCGAAACAAGTCCGAATTCTAATGGTTGGACTGGACGCCGCTGGAAAAACAACCATCCTTTATAAGCTTAAACTCGGTGAAATTGTCACCACCATTCCTACCATAGGTGAGTTGATTCTTTGGTAATTTTATTGTTTTTCTTTGTTCTATTTGTTATTTGTTTTGTTTTCTTTTTTTTTGTCAGGTTTCAATGTTGAAACGGTTGAATATAAGAATATCAGTTTCACTGTTTGGGATGTTGGTGGACAAGACAAGATTCGGCCACTTTGGAGGCATTACTTTCAGAATACCGAAGGCCTTATTTTTGTGGTTGATTCTAACGATAGGGAGAGAATAGGTGAAGCTCGTGAAGAGTTGAATCGAATGCTGGCTGAAGATGAGCTGAGAGATGCAATTCTCTTAATTTTTGCCAACAAACAGGTATGTAAATGTTGTCAAGAAAAAGGATTATCAATAATCCAATTACAACCAGTTATCTAAAAAGCTTACGTGTTCCTCTCATAATTTTTACCTTTGACTTTTGTCTCTGTTGAAATTTGGTTTTCTTCTTTCTTTAAAAGATCAATTAATCTCTCACCTTGACACATTTTCTATTATCTTTTCTCTTAGGATCTCCCAAATGCCATGAATGCTGCTGAAATTACCGATAAACTTGGTCTTCATTCCCTTCGTAGTCGCAACTGGTACATACAAGCAACTTGTGCGACAAGTGGTGATGGTCTTTACGAAGGTCTTGATTGGCTTTCAAGTCAATTAAAAAATTCAAAATAACATCAACGCAAATACAACACAACACACACACAGTATAAGATCAACCAGCAACAACAATAAGTGAACCAGAGATGTATTAATACAAAACAAAATGAATGATACAAAAAATACCACCAACATATAATACCAAAATTATTTGCCTTTTAAAGTGTTTTCTTTGATAACAAAATTTATATTATTTAACGAAAAATTTGATCTCTTTTTTTCTTCTTTCTTTCTAATGTGACAATTAACATGGAAATACAATTGGCTTGATAGAGAAGGAGAAAAGAAGGACAAGACAAACGAATGAAATCAAAACAATGAACAAGGAGAAACTATGAAGAAGTCGGAAAAGATGATACAGAGAATTCGGGGAAAATTAGAAGAGAAAAAGAAAAAAGAGAAAACAATAACAGAAGATAAAGATTATATTACTATAATTATGTTTCCATTCACGGAGAGAAGGTCAAAAAGACTTGATCATTTTGTGGTCAATAGATTTAGATATTTGTTTTCACTAATCAAATTTGATTTTCCAATGATGAAAATGATTGGATAAGATTTTACTTTCTACTTTGGTAAAGTAAAGTTCCGGTGTTTGGATCTTCTTGCCAGTATCTTAAATCAATACTTGGTAGATCTTCACAATTAACTCGAGGATTACTATTGAAAAGGGAGAAAAGAAGACAGTTTTTTAATCAATGGAATAATAATTTGAACAATTAATCGACTTACAATATTGGATGAGCTTGTCTCATGACCCAAGTTTGAATTGTTGGAATATCATCAGAATTTTCACAAATAATCTTTGATTGTGTTGCCTTTTTAATTTCGTACAATTGTTCAGGAGTAAATGATGACGGAAGTCCTGGCCTATCGTACCAGAAACGATCTCCTCGTCGGATATTTGAAAATTGCCGAGCAATGATACAGGCAAAAGTTGGACCAATTATGGATCCAGGTAAACGAACCTCAGAGACACCACCAGACCAAAGATCAATATCATCAGGGTGTCTAATTGTAACAATTAAAAAGAAAATCATTGAAATTTTATAACCAAAGAACAAAAAAAAACTCTAATTGTAATGTCATGAATGTTAACCAATGATAATAATTGTTTACTCATTTCATTTATCATTGATTACTCTTAGATTATTAGATATCTAAATCGTGATCATTTAAACAAACTAATACAAATGATTAGTTAATCCTTGAAGTGTTGCCTGACATTTTCATGAGAAATCATTTGAATCTCACGAAAACTCAACAATTTAAATCAACAAACACTGTTACCGTTAAAAGGTAAATATTTTCAATTTGATTTGTTTTTTTTTCTTCATTCAAGATTGATTATTGATCAATTTTCAAGAATTAAAACATTTAGAGGATTAATTTTGATTGAATTTGAACAAACTTCCAACCTAAACAAGGTTTAATAGTCTATTCAATTTTAAGGTGTTTTCCTCACTCAACTTTATCTCTTTTCTTGATTGATTATATCTTTAGTTTCAGCACCTTTAACACTGAAAATACATGCAAGTTAAATTGTGAGAATTTCCTTGATTGGATCAGTTAATCGAAGTAATTTAGACAAAAACAATTATTTCGTAATTTATTCTACTCACTTGTAAATCTGTGAGTAAAGGAAAGCGGTATTATTTTGCAGAACGGGGACCAAGTCTTGCCATGTTTGAGCTCTTCCTAAACCGCACCATTCCCGCCATGCATTGTATCCTGGTAAACCATGTTCACGACCTCGTTCAAGATTGATCGCAGGTAAATCTAAGCCGAAGGGTTTGTGTGGTGGTTGGAAAAGTCGACCTGATATTTCTTGGGTTATGAAAGGATCGAAAGTTTGAGCGGGAGTGTTGATCAAACCACCGACAAGCTCATCAAGTTTACCAGGTTCATAGACGATAAAAGGTTGACGGAGTAAATTGTGAAGTGGATCTTCACCAAGGAATTGATGAAATTTATCATAACGACGAACCATTCCTTGGATAAATGTATGGCCAAATCGGAAAGCGGCAGTTTGGAAAGCATGAGAAGGACCAATGTGCACATTAGGATCATAATCATCACGATAACCATCGGCTTGGACAGTTAAATTATATCTTTCAACCATTTCAGTTCCTAATAAAAGAGGTAAGAATTCATTCAAGGTGATATGCTGGACAGCGGCGGCCACAATGTGTCGAGTCTCTTGGAAAAGTTTCTCATCGTCCCAATGAGGATTAAGCTGAGCCAATGCGTTGGCAATACGATTGTGATCACGAACGTACAAAGTGTGCAAAACGGTCAAATGGATCTGCTCGTTGACACGCTCATCACCAGCGATGAAACAAAACAAATGACGAGGCCGAGCGGTACAATCGCGCTCTGGGTTATCACCTTCCGGTGGCAATAAGGGTTTCAATCCATAGGCTTGGAATCGATCCCAAGTCCTCATTAAACCTTTCAAATGCAATTAAAGGAGTGGAAACATTTTATTAATTAGCCAACTAATTATAAGACATTAGCAATTTTTAATTATTGGACTGAAAAATAAATTTAATCACAAGTATCATTACTAATTAACAGTTAATTATAAATAAGGATAAATATCATAATAGTTAAGTGAATTAATTGCATCAGTAATAATAGTTTTTACGAGGACATTTAATCACAATCAGGCAACACCCAACATTAAACTAATTTAAACTAATTTTTACAATTAATTAATAATTTCCGGATTAAGTGCAAGTTTTTGATTGTCAGGGAAGCCGAAACCTTGAATTAGAAAGTTTTGATTAACTTGATTGTTAACTAATAAAAAAATATAATCAAAACAAACAAGAATTAAACTATGGTTTCACAATCAAGATTTAATTTAATTGCTGATTAATTAAAACTAGTTCATTTACAGTTTGATTACTATTTGCAACTCTGATTATCAACAATAATCAATATTTTGATCAATATTGGGTCAATCATTCAATAGATTGTTGTTGTTGTTGTTTAATCACTTGATTCGAGATTTAGTTTAAGGTAAATTGTAATAATTAAATTATATTGCATTCCATTTACAGACTCGCTAATCAAATTAACTAATTCTCACTAATTGCCATGTTTGTGTGATACTAAATTAATATGTATTAACACCACTATCACACCCAATAGTTTAATTGTTATAATCAACACGTTAATTTTTGCACAATTAAATCAAAGAAAAAAAAAGAGTTAATTTAATAAAATTTATTCCTTCTTTTCTTGTCCTTAATCAACAATCAAGTTCACTATAATGTCTACAATTTAATACAACTTAATTTAATTGAGAAATTAAGCTCAAAAGTAACAGAATAAAAGTTAATTGTTATTAATCAAAGGGAAATCCCAACTGAAAATCTCATAACAGTAATTGTATATTATTAATAATAGTATGATGGATGAAATTTGACCATTTAATTATTAGATCAATTTCGTAATCGTGTTAATCATGATCAAGGAATAGTTAATTGTGGCTATATCTTGGTGTCCTTGGTTAATTGTTTCATTCGTTAGTTTGATTGCTGAGACTATTAGTTGGTCATTAAAATCAATTTACTAAGCCATCAATAGCTATTGTTATAAGTTAATCATCATGAACATTAAAATAACAACAATTAACATTTGATTATAGCTCAAGCTGTTAACAATTAAGACATAGTTTTAATTACTGGTCAGTTGGATATCGATTGATAAACAGCAAGCTCATTTACTTCAAGTAAAAGATAATGTGATAAATTTAATCATAACGATCATGTTAATTGTTCAACTTTACACTTGAAATAATTAACCGTGAATTGTTCATGGGAAGGTGTTAATTATGAAACATATAAACAAGATAAAAATCAAGGTAATTGTTGAAAATTAGCCATGAGTGTAAACCAAATTAACCACACAATTAAATCTTAGGCCTCATAAACATAAACATAAACATTTTTCAACAGTAATTTTAAAATGATTATAATTGCTTAATCATCAACAATTTGCAAAGTATCAACATCAATTGTTAGTATTATACGAAATTGATTGTAATTAATGAATCAGAAAAGGTTACCCTTTGGCAATAAACTAATTGCCACCAACAATGATCATTCAAAAAGGAGTAACACTAATAGTAATCAAGTGTAAGAATTAAAATTTAATCACTTTACCATATACCTTGAATTGATCAATCTGATAGCTGATCTTGTGAACAATCAATCAAATGATTGTATTTCTAGTTTTGGTAATTAAGGTTCAGCTTTAAAATAATGCGGGTTAAATAATTGAGCTAATTGTTAACCAATTTTGAAATTGAATGAGAAGCTATGAATGATTGTAACAATTAAATCAGGTAACCATATTAAAAATATTAACGATAATTAATAAGGAGACTGGGAGAGCAATTATTCATCTAGATTAATTAACTAACCTGAGAAAATAATAACGGAAATTTGCAACATAATATATATATATCAGAATCAAATCAGTAAATTGTTAATCAAATATTGTAACAATTAAAGGAGTGGGTATTAGAGGATATATCGTTAGTCCATGGACATATTACTTGTTGTATCAATCAGGTAACTCTAATGACGATTAACTAATCAACACAAAATGAGAACCGAAAAGATAATCACATTATATTGTTTTATCTTAATCGAAAGTCTTAATTGCTATAATATGATAATGTAATTTATCTAATTAAAAGTAACAATTACCTTGTTCAATTTTCATCGCAACTAAATCATAAAAAAAAAACTTTTGTGTGTTTCCTTACACCTTAATCATAATGATCGTACGATTTAATTAATCATTTAAATAACTTATGTTATAATCAAAGTCTATTCAAAGTGTGAGAAGGTCAAGTGAATTGTTGATTGTAACAATTAACTTTCAATAAACATTATTTAGTAAAATCTGATTATGTTATGATCAACGTAAATGAAACGATTAAAAAATCGATTCGATTGATGATAAACTTGTGATTAGATTGATCATATTGGTTATCGATTAATTGTAACTCACCTCCTTTAAATGCTCTTAATCGTCTAGCCAAAGCATCAGTTGAACCATAAATGAAATTAGCATCAATTGGTGATGATAAAGTATTTACATGAGCACGAGGTCCTGAAAAATTAAGATAAATTGTTAATTAAAATGAGACAATCAAAAATGACAATAGTATAAAACGCATAGTGTACATGGGATTAATGTTATCACAATGATTATCTTGTTTAAGGAAGTTAATTGCTGATTCATATTGAATAATGATGATAATCAAAGAGTAAAAAAATTATGATACATAATCATGATTAAATCATTTTCATTTGTTTCTGGAGTGCAAACTCGTGACTTAAATTGCTCCAGGCTAATCAACTGTTTGTATGGTTAGACTGTGTGAGTGAGTGTTTTAATTGTTTGTCCCAAAATCAAATTGATGAATAAATAAATAAATAATTCAATTCCATTGTGATTAATTGGCTTAATCGTTGTTTTTCATCATAATCACTGATTATTAGGTTAATCATATTTACCAAGAGCACAATTTGGACGATGTCCAGCAACAGATCGTTTAAAATCATGACATCGTTTACCATATGGACTGTACAATGGGTCATTTTCGGGTATTATAATTGGTGCACATAATGGATGGTCAGTTCCTCTTTCACGAAGTTCACAACAGTCAAATTCAAGGTCATTTTCATCTAGATAATAGAGAAAGATAAACAATTAGTATTTATTATTATTGCATTTTGTGTGTACAAATCAAAAGTTATTATTGATGATCGGTAATTTTTTTTCCTCCATTTTGATGGTAATCAGCTTGATTTTCAATCTCATTTCAAGATTAGTTGAGATTTTTATGATTGTTAACTAATTACTATAGGAAGGAAACATAATCATCATAATTATGATAAAATTATTAATATTTATCTGTAACTTTCAAGTGTGGGTTGTTGTTGACCAACAAGATTGACCTACAAATTAAAGTTCTGATTTGAGATGGACATTCAATTTTGATCTCAATTCGTGAGCAAATAAAAACTTCATCATTGACAATCAAATTAGCATAAACATGGTACAATTAGTTGGATTAAACCATTTTCATTTACAGTTAATAAATTATTAATGTTATTGTTGTGAAAATGTCAAAATCACTGTTAATCACATGTTAGAATTTAACTTAACTTTAACTAATCATCATAATCCTCAACAATTAACTTAATCATCACCATCATTGAGATGATAACATGATGATGATTTTAAATATTTCAGCAAAAGTTAATTGGCTTCCATTTAATTGAACACAATTTAATATTATTACATAATCGTAGTGATTAAACATAAAACATGATTTACTTTCATCAACAACAATCAGTTAACTATTCAAATTAACTGTCAATTGTTGAAAGCTAGCCAATCGTTATGTAAATTATAGTTATATAAATTTTTCATCATTATCATTGATTTGATGTGATTCAAATAATCAAGATGTTCAATTAATTGCTGCTAAATTTAACAATTAGTTAACCCAGTTTCATTTAGCTTTCTGATAGCTTAAGTCTCAACGTTTTATATATAAAAAAAAAGTTAATTGTTGTAACCAATCCTATCCTTCAATTGGTGTATCAATAGCAATTTATTGATTGTTTTGATTGTAAACTGATCAATGTAAACAAATAATTAATCAAACGTTTCAATTCACAACAATCAAATGAAAACTCACTGGATTGTTGGTAATGGCTTTTAATTGATTGACTGTTTGAAATAAGAAAAAATTTACCCCATTAAATTAACATAAATTGTTTCGATTACTATTTAAATTAATTTGATTGTGGGCAGAGATAGTTGATTCAATAGCTTCTGAAAATTTGTGCTAATCAATTCAAAGTTAATTTTAATATTAAATGATTAATTTTGATTGTGGTTTGATAATGATTTAAGGTTGATATTTGATGTTGTTTTAAGGATTCCTAATCATAACTGTTATTATTGTCACGATTAACTGATTGTTTTGATTTAGATTTTTTCACAACACGAAATAATCATTAGTGTTTACCTTTTAATTTTCGTTAATTGTTTGGCCCTAACATTGATTGTGAAAAAGTGAAACTTTTGATTAACTTGTAAACAACAATCATAATCAATTATCAACAAAAAAAACATTTTCTCTCGGATTCAATCAACAATTAATATTCATTGCTTCATAATTAAACAATTATCTGTTCGTATTGTTTAACTGTTGTAAGAGTTACTCATAATTAAACATGATCTGTCAACTCAATTACAATTAATCATTTGATTTCATGGAAATTTAGTTTAATCTCAACGATTAACAAGAAAATTTTTGATTAACTTGATTATCAATCTGGATTAAGGTGATTTAAGGTTTGGCTAATTACAATTAACTATTGGGAAATCGTTAATGCAAGGAAATTATTAACTGTTCGTATTAATTGTGATCGACTAGAATAATTAACGTTTATCATGAATTTAGAAAAAAAACAAAAGTGATAACTGTTAATGATTAACAAGACTGATTAATTGATTAAATCAAGAAGGTTAATTTGCTGATTAACATTGAAACAGGCTAATTATTGATAAATATTTGTATCAAATGGTTTAGTCAACAATTAACTGATCATGTTGAATAACTTTGGTAGGCGTTAGTCAAATAGCAATTAAATCATTGTTATAATAAAACAATTAGCTGACCTCAATTTATTAATTTACTAATCATCATATTTTAATATCTAATAAGGTTAATTCAAGATTGATTGGGTCTAAATTGTTAAGGGAAAAGTTCATGTTATTTACTGTCCCGAAACAATTAACTGATTGTTTTAAATAAGGTTCATCATGTTTAAGAAAATCTAATCACTATAATTGCTCAAATTGATTACAATTAATATTGAACAACAATTAAAAGCCTTGCCGATGGAGGCTCAATGCTAGGATTCAGTCTAATTAAAGTGAGTTTGATACTTTAATTGCTTGCAGTGAATATTAAATTGTGATTGTAACTATTGTTCAATTTTATCTTAATTAAATCAGATGGAAACAAATTCATTGGGTTTTAATTATAAAACAAAATAATTATCCTTTCAATCAGATAAAATGATAATTGTATTAATGGTAATCATCCATTATAATCACATAAGTGTAACAATTTAGATCACAATTAGGCTTTTGTTGAATAAGGTGTGTGATTAATTCAAACAGACTAGTTAATCAAGAAGAGTAAAATTTTCTCGTACTTTTAATTGTTGGTTAAGAAAAAAATTTAATTCAAATCAACAAGTTGATATTGAATTGTTTTTAATCATAAAAGTAACAATTAAAAGTGAACCTTTTTTTAATAATTTCATTTCCTTAAAAATTGTGTTTCGCTTAATTGTAATCAACATTAAAACAATCATCTTTATTGTTCAATGTTGTTAATAATTAGAGGATTTCAGTTCGTTAATTATTCAGAGTAAATCTGACAAGTGATTTGTAATTAAGGTCTTCTACTAATCAAATCAGTAATATAATTTCACCAAATCAATCAAACAACAAAAAATAAGTACGGTAATTAGAGACTGATTGAAAAACTTTTTGTTCATTTGATTAACATTCACAACGATCAGATGATTGATAAACAAATGAGTGGTTAATTTGATTCGCTTTCAATGGATCAAAGTGTCTGATTAACTTGTGAAAATGGTCAACAATTAAGTTAATTGTTTCAATTTAAGAAAATAGGATCACAATCAAGTCTGAGAATTTTCTGGCTCTTCAATGTTAATCATCTAGAAACAAAGGATAATAATAGTTAACAATTTGATGATACTATTAATTGATTGTCGAGAATCATGATAATCGAGACTTTGAGATTGATAGGAGAAAGAAGTGTTCATTGAAATTGAGAAAGAATTTGAATAAAAAGCGAAAAAAACAGTTATTAGAGACAATTAGTCAATTCTTTGATCGAATTGATTAAAAATCGTTAATTCAGGTCAAAAGAAAAGTCGATCATCGAAGCTTATCTATTTTCTATTCTTTTACTATTCATGGTCCAAGCCTCTTTTGTTTGTCTCTTCCTTACAGCATAACCTTTTCGAACCCTTTTCTCTCTCCCTTGTCATCATCTTCATCTTCATCATCATGAGCACATTTAATTGAATTAAATAAATTCAACAAAAAACACTCAAGTTCTGAAGAAAAAGTTTTCTAAATTCGTCTAATTTGAATCTTATTTTCACCTACACAAAATCTTTAGATTGAGATAAAATCATTTGCAATCAACTTAAGTTCATTCAGCACAAGTTTCATGATGAAAGAATCATGAATCTTATTGATTTTAATTTGGAAGAAAAAAAGAAACTCTCCTTTTCTGCTTAACAAATCAAAGATAATTTACTCAACAATTAGTTCATCTTCCTGGTTCTGATTAAATACAATAGCTCAATAATTTGCATCTATTGTTGTATTTCCTTATGCATAATAATCAACAACAATCAGAATCTGTTGAAATGGCAAATTAAGAAACAAATGTCAATGTAAATAAATTCTGACACTTATTGAGTGCTAATTAGTGCCAATCAGCTACAATTAAATCGATTAATGGTGATGACCATAATCTTAATAATCTGCTGATTGAATCATCTCAACAGGTTGAAAAGTTAATCAAACTGTTTCGTTAATAATAATAAAAAAACTTGTTAATTAATGATTACTTATATACAATAAGATTAAGGTTTTAATCACTAAAACTTTAATCTCAAACTAAATGTCAAACTTGAGAGAGAGAGAGAGAGATGAATTAATCAGCATTTATAAAGATTAAATTTCAAGATTAACATGATGATTGTGATGTTGATAAGTTGATTTTCGGTATCAAAATCAAGTTAATTATCACCATTGAACATCAATCAAACAACAAAATTACAATAACTCGAATGACGATCTTCAATTATGTGATACTCCTGATAGTCTTACCTCTCGGTGGTGCTGCTAGAGTTAAATCATGATCAATAAATTGTCCCCATGACATGATTAAAATAGTTAAATCAGAATCGGGTCTATCAACATCACGATGTACAGTTGCTGTAACCAAACGAGCGCTTGGTAAAGGTGATCCATCAACAACGGAAAGTCGATAACCATCGATACCTGGAACAAATAGAAAAAGAATTATTAATGTAACAATGATTATCCAACCAGTAATTGGAATATTATTCATTCCAAATTAACTAAATTAGAATTGATTAAGTTAACCAAGTTGCATAATAATCATGCGGTAGCAAAGTACATATTGTTGAGAGACCTTCAAGTTGTAAAGTAAATATTAGCCATTAAATTGAACCAGTTTCCAATTTTTCATTGAATTCTGGATAAGCAAATCAGCTCTCACATTGAGTAAAATGTTTTTGTATCAAATTATGATGATGGTGATGAAAGTAATCATAATGGTCATTAACTAAGTTATGTTCTACCTTTCAAAGTAAAAATTGACCCAATTTAAGTGAAGATTTTGTATTTTTCTCACTTCTTGGTCCTTTACCCTTTTATTTGAACAATCTCATCACATATCTAAATGGAACCGGACAACCAATAAATTGACACAATTACTGCAATGGAAACATGATTGAACTTAACAATTTCCAAATGAGAATTGATTATGGTGATTTGATTGTTCTTACCATTTGAGTAAACTGGAGGAAGGTAACGCACGAATGGGGTAAAAGTAACTCCCCATGATGGTGTTTTAAGGTTATTACAGTGTCCAGTGTAGGTTCGGTATCGTTCAATGGTACATGGAATAGGTTTAACATGAGCTGGACATTCATCCCAAAGTGTAGTTCGTGAAAGATCAATCAAAGGTAAACCATTAAGAATCTCATCAGGAGACAATTTAAACCTAATGAGAGAATATGAGAAAGAGAAAGAGAGAATAATATTAGAGTTGGAAAGAAAAGACAATCAAACAATAGGAGGTTAAAGTGTAAGTGGTGTCACTAAAAAAAAGACCTTGAGGCCTTGAAAACAGAATCACGATATTTAAGAGAATTGAAGAGCAATCGTCTATTAATTAGTTGGAAAGAAAGAGTAATACAAAGGAGAGAGAACAAAGGAGAAAATGGACAATGAAAGATCACAACTTACTGAGTAGCCAAGACTTTGGTCACTTCTAATGCGAGTTCAGCAGTGGGTGAGATTATCGGTGGAAGTGGTTCAAGGGAATTAAGACCATTCGGCCGAATGTAATTACGTCGGAATTTGGCCTCTTGGATCGCCGATTCAACATCAGTGTAACGAATACACAATTCCTCTTGTTTACCAGTTGGAACAGGAGAAAATGCAGGTCTATGGAATAAAAGAGAAACAAATTAAAATGAAACAATCAAATTAACAAAGAAAAAAGGATTAGAATGTCAAACGTTTTCTCTGTAACCATGGAGACCCAAAAGAGAAAAGAATTTAATTTTATTCTCTTAACTGTTTTTTTCTATTAATATTAACTCTTTGAATTTACTTTAGTTTAATTATCTAATGATTGAGGATCATTTTCTTTGTTTTTCTAATTTAGTTTTTTTTTTGATGACCATCACCTAACCAACATTTCTGACCAATGGATTGACCTTGTAATTAGATGGACTTGAAGGTAAATAGTTTTGAATTGAAAAACTACTGAAAATGGTTTTCCTCTGTTTCTGGCAGCTGAACTATGGTTATGTTGGCAATTTGATTGATACCTTTGGGTTGATCTTATACTGAGGTTACCTGGGTCAAGACATTTGTGTATTTACCCTGAAGGTTGATGGCTCATCATTGATCCGATGATTGATCATATGTTGTGAGAGCTATCAAAGGTAAATGTATTAATAGTTATCTAAGAATGATCATTTTTCATTTGATTTGTTTCTGTCTCTTTTTTAGTGATCAACAGCTATTATTTTTTTCTTAGCATCTTCATCATCTGTTGATTATTGTGATTCTCATGTGTTGAATTTATCCAATCTTTTATTCTAATGGGAGTATTTGTTTGCTGTAAACAACACGAAATATGTTTGGTGGAGAACAAGAAGAGAAGAAAATGGAAAAGAAGAGAAGAGAAGAAAAAAACTCAACCATCAAAAAGGAAAAAAAACTCATTTTCTCACAGTTGCCATTTGATCCATTGACCAACGGGTTTTTCTTCAGTTCACTTCCATAAGTAAGTAAATTCTCTTGTTTACTTCTCTATTCGCCATTTTATTTTCTCTCTTTTTCTGTCTAGTAACATTACTATTCACAAAGAGAATAAACAACAAGAGAGAAAAAAAGAAACAGAAAGAAAAAAAGGTAAGATCTTTAAAAACATGACCTTCTGTCTCTAGAAATTCTGACCCAAGAATTTAAATTCTCTTTTTCTCTCTTGTTGTTTCGTTTCTTATTCTCTACGAAGAGAGAAAAAAACGTTACAAAGAAAAAGAGATGCGATAAAATCGACTCCTTTTCTATTCTTTTTCTTTCATTTATATTGTCACATTTACATTGTTATTCAGGTTATTTATCATCTTGGTGGTAAAACTGAGTCGTTACTTTTTTCTTCCTCGATTAATAATGAGCCTCGTTTACCTTTAATTGTGATTAACTTACAAACAAATTGTAACATCAAATCTTTGACCAGATCTAAATCAATCAATCAACTTGATTGCGGTAAAAAAAATTGGTAACATATCATCAAGAATTATCTAAATGCCTACAATTATTAATTACTGAACTAATTTTCTACAAATAATCAAGTGATTTTGTTGTTCATTGGTCACTTGTTATATCAACTCAATCAAGAGAATTGAACAACAAATTGAACTTGAATTATAAGTAAATTGTATCATAATGATGATGATGATGCAATTGAATTCGGTTCAATTGATTAATTCGATGTGATTATTAACGAATCAATTAATAATTATAAGATTGAAATTTGATTGCCTAATAAACAAATTTCAATCAACTGATTGTTGATTCATTGTAGTAAATGAATAACTAAAAAATTGTATCATCAGTTTCAAAAGATTTCTATTGACAACAGAAATTTATCCATCAATTAATTACAAGCAATAATTAACTATTAACATTATTTTCGATTCATGAAAACCTCAATTGTATCAGTACGATGATTAAGTAAAACTAAGATTTTAATCGATAAAAAGTTAATTGTTTTTCCTTTAATTTGGTTTTTTTTTCTTCTCTTTAGATGTTTTTTTTCACACTTACGATTGTTGTTTAATGACACTTAAGAAACCAGCAAAAAGTGGACTTCGATTGGACTCTTGGGGAGCAACATTGACGACGTAGGTTCGTTGCAAGACAAGTGCACATTCAGAGGATTGGGAATAACTCGAAGGTGCGACAAGTTGAACGGTAGTTTTTGGCGATCCAGTGGATTCTAAGGCAAATGGTGATGCGGATAACGATATGGATGCTGGCGATGAATCTAATAACGATGCATAGGAAGGTGATGAAGGTGATAATATGGACGAGGAATGAATTGAGCTGGTTAAGTCACTTGGTATCACTTGAGTTGGTGTTTGGCTGCAATTGATGATAGGCACAAATGAAAAAACAATTAAAAGGACACAAAACGTTGTTGATGATGATGAAAAGCAACCCGTTGATGACAACAGATGATAAATACAAGAAGTACTCATTGTGATTAAGGTTGAAAATCAAATATCATGAAAAAAAAACACCAATCCAATCAATAGATTAGATTATTGTTTTCAGATTGATTTCGAATTTCTTTTTTAATCCTTTCGTATAACTTGATTTAGAGAGAGAGAGAAAAAAAAAGAATACAAAAAAAAACATTACTCATTGAAAATCAATTATCGAAATGATTGAAAATAGTTGATTAGTGGATTAGTTTTATTCTGTAATTTATTTCGTACTTGCTGATTGTTTTTAAATAGATTGTTTTAAAGATGATCTATTTCGAATTGAATCAACACCAAACTCTTGAATTACATGTTTATCGTTTTCAAGAATTGAGATGAAGTTTACTAACTTGTTAAACTTTTAATTGAAAACAATTAACTGTTGAAAGTTGATTACGATGATTCCAGTTAGAGTAGCGACGATAAAATGATCTTTCTAACGTCAATCGAATGAATTTATTTTTTCAATGGAGAAAATTTTCTTATTCAAATTGATTGTGATTAGTGTTCAATAGCCACGCCATTAATTTGCCCTCCCAACAAAAGGATTATCCCCTCCCTCATATTCGTCATCATCATCATCATCATTTTCGAATTTTTCTTTTTGTTCTCTTCTTCATCATCATTTAGAACCACTTTCAACACGCTCTCTTTTTCCGGCTACTTTTATGCTCCCACTCACTCATCATCATCATCATCAGCGTTTTCTCCTCTTTTCCTTTCATTTCTCCATCTTAATCAATTTCAATTTAATTTTTTTTTCTTCTCTTTAATTTAAATTCTCTCTCTCTCAACAATTTATCCTTGATATCATTTCTTGATAACTGATAATTGAGATCAAATTGATAACCTTGATTTTAAAGGTTACTAATTAACTGGACAATTACAGTTATTTAAACTTGGACTTGGATACATAATAATTGTTGTTGTTGTTTTGCAAAAGCAAAATGACCAATTGAATTGGTTAATTGAATGTTAATTAATCACAAGAGAAACAAAAAACAATGGAAACATTTGAATTGCTTTCCAAAACTTTTTACTGTTATAAGATTGGAAAAGCTCATTAGTAATCTTAAAAGTAAGTTTTAAGTTAATCCATAAAAGACTAAAGAGAAAGAGGAAAAGAAAAAAAAATCCGAAAAGGGATCAGATTAAGAAAGTAAATGAGTTTAAAAATGTTTTCCGTTTTCTTTTCTCCGGAAGTTCAATCATCTTCGATAATCGATTCTAACTAGCAGATGTCCATCGATATTATGGAGAAAAGTTTATGGAGGGAAAAGTTTTCCCTTTTTTTCGATGCGTCAACAAGTAGAAATTGTTTATCTTTCTATTGTTAGCGCATCGAAAAAGAAAGGGGATGGAAACTTCTTCTCAAACAGATTGTCCATCTGTTCCCTACAAACGATTATCGAAAATGATTGGACTTCCGTTTAAGAAAAGAAACGGAAAAGATTTAAATACAGTCGCTTCTTTTTCCTATCGGTTTAGTTCACTTTTTACTCTTTTTCTGGTAACATCAATTTGTTCATTTTTCTCTGTTCTTTTTTGTTTCTCTTTGTGTTGAGAATTTTTGTGCTTTCATTTCATCATTTTCTTTTGTTGATTATCACTGGTTTTTTCTCTCGCTGCTTATAATTAGAAACTCTAACAGGCCTGGCCCGGTGACAATATGTGATCGATTAATTTATAATTAATTCAGTTCGGACTATATTGCACTAGTCCCGGCCTGTCATGGTTGATTTTTCCATCGGTAATTATTTTCATGAGGAACGACTTACGGTTCCTATGAATATGGATCAATGGCTACTGTGAGAATTTCAGTTTTTACCCTTTTTTGATGGTTTAGTTTTTTCTTCTTCTTTTTTATTTTGTTCTTTTCTTCTTTTCCTCCAACGAACAAATTTCGTGTTATTTACAGCAAACTGATTCTGCTTTTAGGGTTGAAGATTGGAAATTCAATTTCGGAGATGAGAATCACAATTATGATTAGGTGATAGTGTTGATGATGCTATGAAAAGTTCGTTTATCAATAAAAGATTCTTATGTAACTATTGGTCATCAATCAATCATGATCCTACGGCTTCCAGGGTAAAAGATTAATTATCTGATCCAGGTAACCCAAGTATAAGTTCAATCCAAAAGTATCAATCAATTGTTAACAATGTTAACTTAACATTGTCCATGGTTCAGCTGCCATAAAACGATTTCATTCAGAATTGTCGACCATCTTGTCCATCTAATTACATTGGTCAGAAATGTTGGTTAGGTGATTAAAAAAAGAATAAAAAATTATGTTCAATACTTGAAATGGAAGAATTTCATGTGAAATGAAAAAGGAGAAATTTTTGAAAATCGTAATGAGAATTATAAATTTAAAATTCTTTTCTCTTTTGGGTTTCCATAGTTACAAAGAAAACGTTTGACATGTTAACTCATTTTTCAAAGCAAATTTATAATTTTGTTCTCATTTAATTGTCTTCCTTTAATTTGTTCTAAAACTTAAATTCTGTCCAGAATTTCTCCTGTTCCAACTGGTAAACAAGAGGAATTGTGTATTCGTTACACTGATGTTGAATCGGCGATTCAAGAGGCCAAATTCCGACGTAATTACATTCGGCCGAATGGTCTTAATTCCCTTGAACCACTTCCACCGATAATCTCACCCACTGCTGAACTCGCATTAGAAGTGACCAAAGTCTTGGCTACTCAGTAAGTTGTGATCTTTCATTGTCCATTTTCTCCTTTGTTCTCTCTCCTTTGTATTACTCTCTCTCTCTCTCTCTTGTGTTACTCTTTCTTTCCAACTAATTAATAGACGATTGCTCTTCAAATCTCTCAAACATTGTGACTCTGTTTTCAAGGCCTCAAGGTCTCTTGTCTAGTGACCTCACTCATACTTTAACCTGCTATTGTTTGATTGTTGACCACAATTATCTCACCAAATATCATTGAAATCAAATTGATTCGTTTAATTGTATCGAACATGTGCTGTCACCTATTGTCTTTTACAAAAGTTAACCAAATTCTTTTCTCTTTTTCCCTCCTTAATATTTACTTTTTGTCGCGACGTTGAAATTTAGGTTTGTTTGCTGTTCAATCAATCGGAATATTTTTTTTCTTTTTCCAAACTGTGATAACCATGAAACTACACGGAGAAGCTATTGACATGAAGATTGTTACTCAGGTAACAAGTAAGTAATGTTTACTTTTTTGCTTCTGTTCCTCTTGTCCCTCTCATTAAATGTCTCATTTTGTTTTTGTGTTTTTCTGGTGTTTTAGGGATTGTTAGCTTGTTCGCTAAGCAATCTAAGACTCTGATTCTCAAATTCACAAAGGATCATGTATATATTCTTGCTGAGCCTGAAGTAACTGATAGATCGATGAAACTATGGACCGAAGTACCTCAATCAACTCTTTTCTCACATTACGAGATTGTTGGTGTTCCCCCGGACAATACAATCTATCTGAAAACCAAAGCTGAAAACTTGATGAATTCACTGAAAACCGCAACCAACTGTCGATCTTTAAAAATAAAACTGCGACAGCGAACGACGCCATGTTTATCTCTAGAATTTGAACAATCCGTAAGTAATTTTAATATTCAATATAGCCGATTTTTTCAATTGGTTTAATCAAAGAAATTTTCTCTTTTCCAGAGTCAACTGACTACTAAGAATAGGATCATTTATAATTACATTGATGTGGAAGTTGTCTACAAAAGATTTTGGGCCCGTTATGACGAACCGAATTTACCACCTCCCGATGTAATTAACATTTAGCTCTTTTTATTCACAATGGTTCTAATTTGACAAGACCAGTCGAACACAATAACAGGTAGTCTTCTCATTTTGGTCGACCGTCTTGTTATTGCGTTCTACTGATCTCAACAAACTGGAACCACTGCATTAACCTCACAAAAGTATCAAAATCTAATTCTTATCAATCTCTTTTGTCAATTAGATAACCGTTATCTTACCTGCAACAATTCAACTCAACAGTTTTACAGCGAAATGTCGCAACTTTGTTTCCAATCTTTATATTTCTGCCACCGGATCTCGTGAATTGGTGTTCCGAGTAAAAGGGGAATCACTCGAAATCACAAGAAAATTTCTCAATATCTCCACGGACGAAGATGGTTTAGATTTAACTCTCAGCGCCTCTGTTACTGTTGATATAAAAAGAGTTGCTAATTTTTTCAAAACTCTGCACTTGGCCGCAGGCACTCAAGTTTGTCTCAACTTGACTGACGAACGTATCGCTCATTTTTCCTTCTTTCAAGATGGCATAACCGTCCAATTTGTTGTACCTCATATTATTTGAAATCTCCGATAAATTGTTTTCAAAATCATAATCCATCAGCTATAACATTTACGGAAAACAATTAGTCAGTCCATATAAATCAACATCTATCCATTTAAATCATGATGATGATGATAAAATCAATTTCCTAATTGTGGTAAATGAAGATGATTTACAATCAGTCTAAATGATATGACTATTTTCAATAAATCTCATCGATCAATTCCAGTTTAATGGAAAAACTTATGAAACTAAGCTTCACAATTAGTTGATTAATCATTGTTTCTACCAACTAATTTCACACTAATTATTACTTTCATCTCTTAACTGTGAAACATTCAATTAATACCCAGAAAAACTGTTAAATTGTTGCTCTTGAATCAATTGGTATGATTATTTTCCATGTCAAATTCATCAATTACATTAAGTCATCATGAATCTGGTGTAAGTGGACAATCAATAATTAACCTTGACCAGAGTCCATTAACAAAAGTAAATTGTCACTTTGTATATTATCATTTGTGTTAACAACAATATCCTTTTCCTCATTTTTCATTTCCTTTTCATTTATCGATCATCAATAATATAAACTGACCATTGGTCGATCATATTTACTATTCTATCATTTTCTTTTACCATTAATTAAGGTGTTCTTATCGACAGTTAACTAACAATCTAATTGCAATTTTCAACCGATTCAGTCTAAGGTTAATTAACTTAAAACATTTTAATTGCTGTTTCATTGAATATTTATTTCCAATTTACTATTGAAATAAATTTTCTGCAACTAATTAATTTGTGTTCTGATTCCTGAACCATCATAATATTATGAATATGATGATAAACATTAATACTAATATTAAATCCAATTGATTTCCATAATTAATTGATTCGATTGATTAATGATTGATTGAGATCTAAATTGCTGCTAATTAACTTATTTACTTCATGGTAACCAAAAGTAGTAACAATCATAACAAATAACAAAAGAAACATCAAAATTAATTGTTTGCTTTTCTCTTTTCTCTATATATATAACTGACAATTAACCTAATCAATTAGCCTAATTAGCGTAATTAAAAAATTTATCATGAATCATTAAAATATTATCAGTGTATCGGTTAATTGTGACTCGTCATCTACAATTAATCTTTCAATTATTACGAGAAGAAAAAAAAACCTTTTCCAAATCATAACAATCTATCATCTATTTCCGGATAACAATTAAACAACCATCATGATGATAACAATTAATTTCCTAATTGTGGTAAATCATGATGTTGTGGGGTTAGATTTGAGATGAGGGATTTGATGATCACTTTTAGATCGATGGATGGATTTGAGTTAGAACTCGGAAAAGTCTCTAGACTTCGGAAGGAAGATTTTCGGTCCCACAAAACCGATAACAGATTCGTTTAGGATCACTGAATAACAAGAGCACTCAAATCTAGACTCACTTAAGTGTCTTCGTTTTCACTATTTAACTTAATTCTCTTGAATTGATTGAGAAGATGGAGAAAATTAGAATTTCTGAATAATTCAGATTGATGGATGGAATTGAGATTAACACGTTTTTTGTGAAAGGAAATTTTAATCGAGTAAGTTAACCAATTGAACGTTAAAACATTACTGAAGAGAGAAGAGGGAAAAATCTTGTTCTAATAGGAACAGAGAACAAAGAAAAAGGGGTTTCACAATTAAAGAAAAGGGGAAAACAAATTAATCTCTTAATGATGAGATAAAAGGTAAAGGTTATAATGTAACTCTTATGTCTCGACAAAGTGAGACTTATGGTTGATTTTTGGTTAAAGATAAAAATGAACTTGAAGATAAGCTTGTAGGCTTATAGTACTAAAGATGAAAAACTAAAAGAAAAAGAAAGAGAGAGGAAAAGAAAGGGAAAAACAGGTCTCTTTCTTTGGTGACCAAATTTTAGTAACTTAAGTTTAAGAGATTTGGGTTTTACAATTAAGAAATTTGTAAATTGTGACAATTAAGAATCGGAATCAAAATTATATCTTTAGATATAAAATCAATTTTAGTTAAATCTGATTGGTTTTAACAATCAGGATTCGTTAATTATAATTAATTCAATTGTTAATTAGGGATACTAATTAAGCGTATTGGTTAATTATAACAATGAGAAATTACAATTATAGTTGTGGGAGGAATTAAACAAAGTTAAATTGTTGAATAGAAAAGAAAAAGCTTTAAAGCAATCATAGGCACAATTAACTAATTGTTAGAAATTAAACAAAATTTAAACAGAAAATTAAAGAAAATTAGAAAATGTTTTTAAATGAATCAAGTTTCCAAATCATGATAGTGATGAAGATGAAAGTTTGAGGATTTCATGATTTTCTACCCTTCAGTCCCCAGCGTTTTGACTGAGATACTTCTTCAGGGTTTCAGCGGAGATCCTATTGGGATTTGGGGAACTTGATGATGTTGGTTGGGGTGAATTCTCTGGACTGAATTCAATGAGTTGGGGAGATTTTGTTTTTTGTTTCCTGGGGTCCTGGGAATTGTTTAAGGAACCAAAGGTTGATGGAGGGTCAGGCAAATTCTCTAGAATTACATGAGCGGCAGCGGTTAGGGTCTTGGTATTTGGTGATGGAGTTGATGATGATGATGAAGATGTTGGAATATTTTTATATTTTTCCTTTAGTTGATTTGATGAGGTAAATGGAACTCTATGTCCATCGATTAAATATTCAGTCGGTTGATTGTTAACACGATCTGAATTAGGAGGGAATGAAAATGAAGGTAAAGGTCCACTTGATGGACATGATGATGATGATGATGATGATGATGGTGACGGAGCGGGTGAAACACAATTAAAAGAATTGTATTCAGGGACTTCTTTATGATTATGATAATAAGACCAATCAACTGGCCATTTGGCTTTCTTGGATTCCACCAATTGACTGAATCTTTTATGAAGATAAGAAACTTTATCGTTTCTTACATAAAGATGAATTGATTGATTGTGAATTCCACGTCCGGTGGATTTGACTTTTTGTTCGATTTCCTGCCAGAAAAACATATACATTCTCATTGCAGTGAGAGCTTCGATTGAGGGAGAATGTGATTGGGCTCTAATTGTATAACCACTGAAGAGAATGAAGGCGAGGAGAGAGAGTGATGCTGGAGATGTTCGGTAGGGAGAAAAGTAAATGGTAACATCTCTCAATTTCGGGCGAAGAAGGTCTATTTCAGGGGGAGTGAGTTGGAGGCAATTTAATAGAGAGATTAGACCAGCACCGATTATCTGCTTAGCACAGGCCAAATAACAGAGAACTTGATCTCGGACTGAAGCTAAGTGTTTAGCGAACTTTAAATTTTCTTTCTTCAATCCATGGAATTGAGTATCCATGTAATTAATGTTCTTGTAATGAACGAGGGTTTCGTAAACGACGTTCATGTTTCCATCGATGATTACGATCCATACTGGATGTGGAATGATTTTTCTATTTCCTTCGGCGGTGAATCTTTCAATTCGAACATACGCCGCGTTGATTGAGTAGATATTCGATGGATCAGGATGTTCCTTATACATTCTTTTAAAAGTTCTTGATGGTGAGAGAAAGTTCTTCTACTTGTTGATCGACCAGCGAGTTGAAAATAATATGCCTTTGTTTTTCGATTGGCTCGATATTCGAGTCTTTGTGGGTTGATGGTCGGGGATTGATCAAAAGTGACCATTCTCTTCTCTCATGGAAACATTTCTTTATTTTATTTTTGATTTCTTTTTGTTCATCGTCTTTTAGACGATTGAAGGGATTAATGGCCGTAAATGGGTTAATTGGTTCACCAGCATCGGGAGATAAACCGATCGGTGAGAGAGGAAGATCACGATTAGCTTTTCCTGCAGTGAGTTTCAGCCATTCTTCCGAATCATTTAGGAGGTAGTGAGGGATTGAATTTCTTTTACTATTCGATGACCAAGTAGTTCGAGGTCGAGAAGGAGCGGGAGGATAAGGTACAACGGAGGGAAAACCAATTGTACGAACAAACTCTTCGTTCTCTGAGAGAGGGAGAGTTGGTTCCTTCGACTTATTAAAACTTTCCCAGAAACCTAATCTCAAGTTCGCATGGGAACGAATGTTGGTATCTGATAGAAGTGGGTCGTCAGGTTTCTTCTTTCTGGACTAAGAGACAAGCGTATAACTCGAATTTCTGTTCGAAGTTAAACTCGTGGGTAGAATAAGAGATCTGAGGCTGAGGTGCGAGTTTAACGTGGGGAGGAATAAAACTAATTAATCTCTTAGGATTGATTGTAGAAAGTTCCTTTACAGAGGAACCATGATGAAAAACTGAAATTGATTTCAAATCAACTTCTTCCCTGAACAAGCCTAAGCGACACTTTGATTCGTGTTCGAATAATAAATTGGGACTAACTTGTTTGGAGCAAAGAGTAAAACGACAAATGAATTTACAGTTACGATAATTCACATAAGTTTTCGAATAAGAAATCGAACTGTAAGTTGGGTACTCATCAAGCGAAGCGAAAGTTTTTAAACAAGTTGGGTTGAGACAAATAAATTTGTTCGGCTTAGATGGTGGGGTCAATTTTAGAACAGCAATTAAATTTTGGATGAAAATTATGCATTTGGTGCAATACCAATGCTTGCAAAAATCGCACTCAAGGGGGATTAGAGCAACTTGTTCACAAAAGAAACAACGAATTTCATCGATAAATGAATCTAATTGTTCATGAACAACCGAAGATTTGGATATACCTTTAGGTATTTTCGGAAGAGCAATTGAATGAATTTCTTCATCTTGGTAAAGATTTAGAAATATCTTTTCTCTGATCATTCGATTATATTTTTCTCGAATGTTTTTAAAATTTTGATTTTTCATTAGAACTAAAGATCTAACTTGATTATATTTCTCAATAGAAATATGAGAAGGAAGTTCTAACGGGAGAGGAGCTGGAATTTCATTAGGATAAGTTTTTGGGTATTCACCTGGTTTTGGATATTTGTTCGGATAGGAAGTGGATGGCATGAAACACTGAGAATTAGACTTAATCATGACCTTACCTTTTTCTTCCTCCATTGGATTTCTCAGGGAAACTTTTCTAATTTGTTTCGGATTTGGTGATGAGAGGGAATCTAATGATTCGATCGAAATTGATCGCTTGAGGTTGGATGGTTGTTGAACAATTGGTGAATCGAATTTAACACTTTTCAGTTCAGAGTTTTCTTAGGAGATGAGGTGAGTTCGTGACACGGAAATTTGGGTTGAACAGTTTTCACAATTGGTCCGGGAATGTAGTAACAATCGGGATCACTTTCGTAACCACAAAGAGATTTCAATAGATGAGCGGTAGCACGGCGATTATCAAGAGGAACTGGTACACTGATAGGTGATGATGGGGGAGAAGCGTTTTTATCCATTTGGGTAGTGGGCGAATTTAGCTTTTTTAATTGTTGATGATTAATTAGATGATAATTAAGTTGAAGATGATTAAGATGGAGAGAGTCAAGTAAATCACTTTTAGTCTGATGACCGGAAGCACTTAAACTTGTGATGAAAATGGCGACAAGATGATTAATATCACTAAAGTGATCAATTAATGATGGAAAACAATTAATTGTAACAATTAAATTTTCA